ATTTTTTATGAATATTTAGATGTTTTATGCCTCCACTGTTTAATACCATTTGTTCACAAGTATGTACCACATTATGGTTCTCTAAACTTACAAATTTATATATTTGCTATTGTGCAACTACATATATGTATTATATTAGATTTTATGATTGATATACCCTACTGTTGATATTTATATCCCTCAAGTCTGCTGATGTATGGTTAGACTGTTACTATTATGTATAGATAATCATGAATATATAGGCGTTATGTATACCTATATTGTGTATTTGAAGTATAAATGGACTTATTTTCATATCTCATATTTTCATATTTTCATTAACATATCTCTTTCTTCATTCATTTATATTCAACTATACTTTTTTAATATATATTTTAATATATATTTTTATATATATATTTTTCATATATTTGAATATATTTTTTACTTATTTATTCATCTTTCTCTCACTTATTATTTTTTACTTATTTTTTATTTCTCATTTATATAATTCACCCCACCAGTCCTATTTATATTTACATCTAGGCTGATAGTAATTGATGTTAGGGGTTAGCTGGGAGTTAGGTAGGTCTGTACACACAGACCGCATCAAGTGTGAACGCTTTTGATGTAGGGCGTTCATAATGCGGATGTGTATAGGACCAATTAAGTTATTTTGCGTTCCAGCGATTACGGAAGTGGCTGGACAGACTGACGGACCAGCAGATTTAAAAAGGAGAGAAGATTGGAAGAAAGAAGAAGCTCCTGAGGAAGTCCCACAGACGAAACGTATTGAGCATAACCTGGGACCCTGCAATTTGGTATCAGCGGTTTCTTATTTACATGCACACTGGTTACATATATTGCTTGTGCAGTATTTGTGTTTGGCTGAGTGTTGTTCACCTATACTAGTGATTGGCTTTATGCTCTCTCACTTTGTTTGCTTTGCACTCTAGCATTTGCAATTTTTGACTTAGCACAGTACCATGTTATATTGAGCTGCTATACTTATGGGTCCTTAGCCTATTGTGGCTTTTAAATATCTTTTATATATTGCACATATCTTGTGCTGAGATTGTTTATATGTTTATCAATAAAACTTTGCTGTTTTTACCTTATCACTTCATTCCTTTTTGAACACCCATTCATCATATTACCAGTATAGTGACTGTGGTGCCCTGTACTTTCTAGTTTTTATAGCTATTTAAAGAGCTGCTGGTATCTATAATTAGGAGGGGTTTGTATTAAGATATAGGTCTGCCTCTGCATGTTGTTGGAATACACACTTCTTTCCCCCCTCCCTCCTGGTATACAAACTTCCCGGTTGCTTGGTCACGTCAAAATATACCAGGTTATTATAAGGACTGTACAGCATGTCACTTTTATGCTGATTATTATTAAACTTGATTCAGACAATCTCCCTTCATCTATTCTTTAACTACTGTGTATATCACTTGAATATGCACAATGTTCCCCTAGCACTGATGGTTGGCCATCTCTACTTGTATATTGTTACAGTATAAGTTTAAGCATCACTGTGGCAACACTGGTATGATTGTTGTAACACTTTGCAAATGACACTACGGTCTTCAAACAATTAGCTTGTGTGTTATTCTGAGCCTAACTAGTTCCTACTGGAAGGCATATGTTTTGACTTGTTACATATTAAATACTGATAGTTTTACAAACTGACTTTGGACCACCTTAAGGGTCTAGGCATAAGTCATGTCATCTGTTGTCACTACTCAGACTTGCATACAATGTCTCATAGAATGTCTCGTTATGATATTTGTTGACTCTCGTCGCACTGATGTTGCCCACATATCTGATACTACAATTTGGTAGGCCTTGTCCTGAAAATCCAAAACTTCCATATTAGGTTCTGTCTACTTACCCAGGTATGCCAGTTACTCCTTTGAGATACTGTTGTGTTACGGTTCATTTTGACTCAGACATGATTTTCCCTTCCACATAACCGTAGGTGCACTACTAACTACTGAACATTCAAACCTTTGGCATAAAAATTCAAATTCAGTTCATACAGGTAAATTTCCCCATTAGCTTATATTCGAACTTCCCTGTTTATATCAGTCCTTTAGACTAAAGGAATTACTGGCTGTCAGCGAAATAGGTTCCATATTTAGCTTTCTAAGGCCTTCTATGCCTTATACTAGTGGTCCTGCGAGGCCAATACCAATCAGAGATATTCGGCCCTTTGTCCAACGCATAGTTAGCCGCCTCACAAGTTACATAGAGAGGACCTCACTTGTCACACCCAATTCTATTATTCTCTTAATGTCACAGAGAGACCAACATCCCGCCACTACGTTCTGTGGTAAATAGACCCGCGGTCCAACTCCTAGATAGAGCCTCTCAAGCCGCTTGTCATTAGTAGGGCCTCACCTGTCACCACATAGTGAATATTTTTGCCGCTTGGCACTAATTAGCAGGCAGTACCCTGGAAACTAGATCCTGATTTCCAATTCTCATTTTAGTATGTCACAAATTCGGGGAAATGATCTTTCACCCTCTAGCACCCCAGCTAGGTCGGGTTCACCATCTGGGAGACGTGAATCGGCCAGTCTTTCATCCATCAGATCTTGGACTATACCACGCATTCAAGCCAAACTTAGAATAAGCATTCCATTCACGGCTACTGCCAGAGAAGCTGAATTATTTAGATTAATGCAGACACACCGACAACTCTGGCGCAGGGGAAGGATCTAGCGGAAACATCAACATGCCCGACTTACAGACTCTTCTATCATCTACGGGCCAAATTAGAGATAGAATCGACAGATTAGAATCTGGCCACTTGGCAACAAACCCGACGTTGTCTCATGCTACATCTCTAGCAGCTGCTACGGCTATTTTACAGGGTAATGTAGCTGTCCCTATATCCCTGATTGATACACTCATGATTATACCAGCCCATATGGTGCCTCCTCAAATCCACAAAGATATCCTGGAAGGTAAGGTAATTTGGTCTCACTTCTTATTGCTTCCCAGGATATCGTGCATATTAAAATGTTTACTTATGGGGACCTTTCGGTAGTCCTCAAGGCTAAAGATCCCAGACTCGGTAAAAAATTACCATCCCCGAATTTTTACTGGCGTTTGGGATCTATAGAGATTTGGTATGTACCAACTTGCCACAGACGAGAGAGGAATTCGATACTTGTATGCATAAGCTGGTGGACCTGGGGCACAAATACGGCGGATATGTCTTCTATGACTATCATAAGTCATTTTCAGCTAAAGCAGCAGCAACTCTGGCCCAGTTTAATACGGTTGTTAACTGGAGTAAACTGGATACAGAGTTGTTCTGTAGGCATTTCGCTGGCCTCAGCACTCCAGCCTGTGTTTTGTGTTCCTCATCCTCCCAAAAGACAAATCTCTGTCTTGATGCCTCAGTTACGGTCCAACAAGTCATAAAGGATAAGCATGGCAGACCAATCGTGTTCCTTGGCAAATCCCAAATATGTAATGATTTTAATGCGGGTGCTTGTGGGTTCAGTGCCTGTAGGTTATTGCATATCTGTACGCAATGTTTCCGAGCACATTCCAAGACAATGTGCCCCAATAACTACTTTTCAAAAATATATAGATGGGGGTAAATTACATTGGCTGGGTTAAAAAATGTCCCAAATAGGGCATGGGTGCATGATGGCCAGCTGTGAAAATTCCAATTTTGAAAACTAGAATGCACACCCACCAAATAAGGTCTTTTAGCCCCCACAGAACCTGACACACCTGTACATGGGTGGTATAAATGTACTCAGGAGATGTTGCTGAACACATATTGGGGTGTTCTTTGGCAGTAACCACTAAGTTCTCAGTACATGTATTCTTAAATTGCTATGTGTGTCAGAAAAATCACCAATTATTATTATATTTTAAATTTGGCATAGATTGGTGGTAAAATGGTTGCATGAGAAGAGTCAAAATACCCCAAGTTTAATACCTTAGGTTGTCTTCTTTTAAAAAATATATACATGTGAAGGGTTATTCAGGGATTCCTGACAGATATCAGTGTTACAATGTAACTTTTGCTAATTCTGGAAAAAAAAATGGTTTGGAAATGGCAAAGTGCTATATGTACTTATTGCACTATAACTTTCCACACAAAGCTAAGAACATGTTAACATTGGGTATTTCTAAACTCAGGACAACATTTAAAAACGATTTAACACGGTTGTTTTTTGGCGGTTGTAGATGCGTCACAGATTTGGGCGGTCAAAGTTAAAGGAGCACTATAGGGTCAGGAACACAAACATGTATTCCTGACCCTATCATGTTAAAACCACTATCTAGCCTCCTTTGCCTCCCTAAAGATAGTAAAATCTTACTTGTATTCAAGTCTGAAGCTGCTGCCTCTGCCTGTGAACTTCCTCTGACATCATCAGAAGTGGTGGCCTAATTCAATCACAATGCTTCCCATAGGATTGGTTGAGACTGACAAGGAGGCAGATCAGGGGCAGAGCCAGCACAATTCAAACACAGCCCTGGTCAACAGCCCCGGTCAGCATCTCCTCATAGAGATGAATGGAATCAATGAATCTCTATGAGGAAAGTTCAGTGTCTGCATGTAGAGGGAGGAGATACTGAATGTTTAAATGCATTTCAGGCAGCCATGACCCATCTGAGGAGTGGCCAGTAATGTTATCATTAGGCTGTAATGTAAACACTGCATTTTCTCTGAAAATGCAGTGTTTACAGGAAAAAGCCTGAAGGTAATGATTCTACTCACCAGAGCAAATTCAATAAGCTGTATTTGTTCTGGTAACTCTAGTGTCCCTTTAAAAAAAGTTTTTTGTTTTTTTAAATGTCTTCATCATATTTTATAATTCTTTTTATAAAAATTATATGCTATGATGAAAATAGTGGTATCTTTAGAAAGACCATTTAATGTCGAGAAAACCGGTATATAATATGTGTGGGTACAGTAAATAAGTAAGAGGCAAATTACAGCTAAACACAAACACCTTAACGGTAAAAAAATTGAAAAACAGTCTGGTCACTAAGGGGCTAAACAGGACATTATATTTATTGACCGCATTCAACAACTCTTACAAAATTAACAATAATTAAGGACAATGGATTTAGGTTCATAAGGGTGAAGCCATATATATGTTCTTAACGTGGAATAATGGCAGTTATATTCAGAATAAATTTTACCTGTAGATGACTCATTCACGCTAACTTGATGACCTGAAAGATTTGCTTGCCTGTGAGGTCATTGAAGAGGATAACAATTTTGTTTACAGACCCAAAGCACTGAATAAAACCCAATTAATCTAGACATAGATGAAAAAACTGCACTTAACAATATTTTCATAAAAAGTTTCACACATCTAAATACAAAACACATCATACAAGAATATTGTAACCAACTTCACATCTGCTGGGTAGTGTAACTCCACTTCAGGCCACGTCACTGGAGCGTCATTAGCCAGCCTGAAGCAAGAGTTCCTGGTGGGTAATGTGAATCGTGTGTAAATCTTACATTTGACACCAGACTACCAATGGTGGCATGCTCCCATCTCCTGTACCTCCCATGTCCACCCTCACCTTCCAAAGGGGGAGCTTTGTCATCTGCAGAGGATTGGGCTACAGGGAGAACTTGGCCTCAGTGGTGCAACAGAGGTAAGATTTATTTTTTTCTTACTTTTTTTTCTTTGGTGTGGTGGCCACCTCAGCATATGCTAGAGACTAACAAAAACAGTGTTTTTCTATTCAATATGGATTTCTGTAGGTCATTGCTGGGGATAAAATAAAAACATCTCCTAGATGATAACCAAAGTTATTTGCTTAAAGAGACACTATAGTCATTAAAACAGATTAAAGTTGCAGTTTATGCCTCTGAAGCCTCATTAGTCAATTCTCTGCCATTTAGGAATTAGATCACATTTGTTTCTGTTTATAGAGCCTAAGCCAGACTTCCCCTGGCTGTGACTCATACAGCCTGCATGAAAAAAATGGTTTCATTTTTAATCAGATGCTAACTAACTTAATTTTTATTTACTGCTCTGTAAATTGAACCTTAATCACATACTGGAGGCTACTGCAAATTCTAGCAAGTTGTTAACCGTGCAAAAGATATAAAATTCTAAAGTAAACAGTATTTAAAATAAAGAAATTGTAAACATTAAATTTAACTTTATAGGCTGCATAAATAAAGTGTTTAACTCCTAAAACAGAGCATTGAGCAGTGAGACTACAGGGGCATCATCTATATTCCAAAATTGCTTCATTAAGCTAAAGTTGTTTTGGTGACTATAGTGTCCTTAGGGCATGTGAAGTTGACTAAGTATTAAGGTATACTTTTTTTTTATTTTAGTCTTTTTCAGCATTAAAAAGAGATTGCAATTGTATAGGTTATACTTTAATCTCATCTGTCTATTATACGTCATCTATTACCTGCCTGAAATCTACTGAATATTTTATTTGGTATCTTGTTATACTGGGTAATAAGTTCTAGCTTACTATGACCAAGAGTCATTCTTTTGACATTTTTGTTTGAGTCCTTGGTGTTATCACTAGCTAAAGCACTCGTCTTGTCTTCTGAATCACCATAATTGGAAACTTTATTTAAAGTTACATCACTTTTCATTTTTGGTGACATCTTATTTTCCATTTGCAGAGGTCTGTTTTGCACATCTTCAAATCTGGATTTAAGCTTAGAGAAAGTTTGTGTGTGGTCTTTGTCATTGAGACTAGGTGTTGACTTTGACAAGAGCAATTTCTGCATTTCCAGGAGATTATTCTTCTCAGTTTTAGGATCTGTTGGTCTTCGATAGTCATTGATACTTTCCACTTTTGGCTTAGTATGCTGTTCATTTGGTTTTATGATGTTACTAGAAGAACCTTTTTCCTTGTGATCATAAATTATGGTGACTGCCTGGTTCTTAAAGAAAGGTGGAGTCTTAATACTGGATTGGCTGTCAGAACTGGAATTGGAATTAACAGATATTTCAGGAACTGCTGGAGGTATTGGTGTAGATTTCTTGACGGCCCATTTATTACGCGTGATTTTATTTCCAAACGCCTTGTTGGGAACTTCACTGTCGAAACTGCTAAAGTAATCAGCTTCCAATGAATCTGCATATAAGCATCGGAATTCTCTGTCAAAGGCTTCAACTATGTTGCCTTTGAAGTAGGTTACCATATTTCTATGTATGTGGCTTGAAAGCCAGCTGAAACTGAGAAAAAAAATATTTGTTTAACATTTAACAAAGGACAGTTGGCAAACATTTTCTAGCATTTAACAAAATGAATAGTAGACAAATCAAGATACCCCAAACTCAAGATGCTGCAAAGTTTTTATAGCAGTCAAAAACAAGTGAAAAAAATTTGTATCTGTATTATCAACATATATAAGCACCACTAGGAAATGAAGGCTTGCAAAGATGATAAATCTGTGTATCAAATTGAAAAATTGTATTAACATGAATGGGAAAAAATCAAATTCAGCTTTTGACTAAAGACAGTTTGTGTAGAATTTCAGCAATTTTTTTCTGAAATTTCTTTTATGGCACAGTTTATGGTCACATATTATTTGGAAGGATATGAATTCAGCTAATTATCCAGAGCTTGAACTCCACACAAAATTTATTTGCACTTGTTAAAGGGCAGAATGGTGGTTAAAAACATCCCTGTGGGAAATGAAATCTAGTGGGGATCCCCAGGAGTCCAAATAACCTGAAATGTTGCAGAACTACAACTCCCATGATTATCTGGAAATCTATTGTATTCTCTGAATAAGTGCGGTGACAGAACAAAAGACGTTGGGACCACAGCAACTACCCATTGCTTTTATTTGATTGTTATTTTATTTCACATTGATTCCAGGACTTGCTTTAGTGCTGAGGACTATTTTATGTAGTGATGTGCCTGACTTAATTGTATTTTTTTCTAATACATTCATTGACCTAAATACCTATTGTTTCTTTTTATCTGCTTATATTCACTTAAGGGCTGGATTAAAAATTTTGTCCTCCCATCCCCACCCCCACTGCAAAGATGGCCAAATGGTAGATCCCAATCTGTCGTACAACTTCCACAATGCTTTGCCAGCTGGGGACATACAATTTGCCCATCCATGCAGGATTGTATTTAGCACTAAGCAGTGTTTGAATGTAACCATGTTTATGTATGGAGTATATGTGTGTCAATGTAGGGGTGTATTTGTGTGTAGTGCTATGTGTTTTTATTTACAGTTGCCATTTGAAAGTAGTGGTTCAGTTGTGGGTAGTGTTTGCCTTTAAATGTAGGTTTGTCTGTATGTAGTGTTGACGTTTGCATGCAGGGGTGTATTTGTGTGTAGTGTTAACGTTTGTATGCTGAAATGTATGCATATACTGCTAGACACACACTAAAACACATACATACACAGACACACATGCAGATACAGACACACACTGACACACGACCAAATACAGACAAACAGATACACACTTGCCCATACATAGACACACACACAGATTCACACATTGACATACATACAGATACAAACACTGACACACATACAGATATACACATACACAGGTACAGACATGCAGATACACAGAAATGCACAAATAGATACACAGACACACAGATGCAAACACGGACACATATGCAGATACGCAGACACATACAATACACAGATGCACAGATACACACACTGGCACACATGCAGTTACACATACATACATACTAATAGACATATAGATACACAAACACACATACTCACATGCACAAAATAACACACATATATATATACACACAGAATGATGCACATGCAAATAAACAGACACACAGAGGCACACACTGACACTAACAATCTGACACACTTCCTCCTAGGCTGACAATATTAAAGGTTCCCTGAAGACACATAGCAATTGTGTGGTTCTAAGTGCATTGCCCCCCTCAGCGCGCGAGCCCTAATGCAGTTGTACCAGCTGCACCAGTAGTAGTTCCACTGCTGTACTAAACTGTATTACCCTATGTGCTTTATATATTGTTTGCAGTTATTATTTCCTTGCTTCATGTATTGAATTATCTGGATTTTATGCATCTGGTATCCTCTAATTAGAGGTCTAATTTTATTGTAAATTGTAATATTAGGCGGCAGAGGCGTAGCGTGGGGGGTGCAGGGGGGGCCGGCCGCACCGGGCGCAACATCTGGGGGGGCGCGCTCGCACTCGCAGCTCTCTGCCCCTGATTGGCTCACTCACTCTCTCTGCAGTGCTGGCTGTGCGAATCCGATCCGAGCCGCCGGGTCGCCGCCCACTGTGGAGGGGGGTGCCAGGCAGGGCCGGCGCTACCATTAAGGCGAATAAGGCATTCGCCTAAGGCACCGGCCTCTAGGGGGCGCCCACCGAGAGGTTTCCCGGTGGGCTGCCCTGCTGTAGCTGTCCGGGGATGCTGTGCTGGACGAGCGGCTCTTTAGCCACCCCCCAGCGCAGCCACTCACCTGCTGGGCTCCCTCTGCAGCAGATTACCAGCACTGTGCTTCCTGCAGGCAGGGGGAGCCTGTGAACACCAGAAGCACAGTTAAGGGAGCAGGAAGTAGCCTGTGCTCAAAGTGCACAGCTCTCCTGCTCCCCCAGGAGAAAGAGCAAGATCCTGGATCCTGCAGCCTGGACCTCTGCTCAGCACAGCACCCAGGTATGGCATGGTTAAGGGGGATTGCTTATTGTGTGCATGTTTGTAAATGGGGGAGTGTGTTAAATTGGTGTGTTTGTGTGTGTAAATAAAGTGTGACTTTATGTAAAGTTTGTGTTTGAGTGACAGTGTGTGTGTTAGGGAGAGTGTGCAAGTGACTCTCTGTGTGTGTGTGTGTGTGTGTGTGTTAGTGAGAATGTGCAAGTGACTCTGGGTGTGTGTGTTAGGGAGAGTGTGCAAGTGACACTGTTAGTGAGTATGTGTTAGGGAAAGTGTACAAGTGACACTGTTAGTGAGTATGTGTTAGGGAGAGAGTGCAAGTGACAGTTAGTGAGAGTGTGCAAGTGACACTGTTAGTGAGCATGTGTGACAC